TGCCCAAGCTGGTGTGGAAACAGCCTTGGCCTCCCAAATCACTGGGCTCACAGGAAGAATACTTTTCACTTTATACTCTTCATAACTTTATAACATGTGCCAGGCATTACTTTTATAATGAAAAATTCTTTTAATTTAAAAAGAGATAATAAAAGCTCCTTTGCTTCGGAGTTCATTTTAGAAACTCTTTTCCCAAGGACTGAACCAGGTAAATACAAACACCTATTTTTGCTGGTTTCTATAGTGCTTAGTGGCTGGACTGGGTTACTGAACCCGGAACTGGATAAATTTGAGCTCCATACATTTCCTGGAGGTTTTTGTTTCTCTCCCCAGAGAGGTTGCCCTGGCTATGCTGAGTGTGTGGTGGATGATCTAAACCACAGATGACCCCATCGGAAGACACAGGTCTGGCTGGCATCCCTACCTACATGGCTGCCCCAGGGAATTCCTTGGCTGTGTCGAGGAAGGCTTGTGTGCAGTGCCTCCTTCCCCGGCCGAGGCTCCTGTCCCTACACAAGGAGACTGCACGTCAGGTGTCTGATGGGGTGCCTTGCACACATGAGCCTCCTCTAAGCAGTAGCAATCATGACTGCTGTCTCACCAGGGCAGAGAGGAAGGGGATGCAGGGACATGTGGGTTAATGGCGAGGTAAGATCCTTGAGACAGGTGGCAGCTGTGGATAAAGGTTGAATGTAGGTGCAGATAAGTTTTCGTCTGTTGTTTAAACCAGCACAGTGCAGTTAAGAAGGTTCTACCTTTGAGCCCCACCTCCTGCATCATTGGCTCTACAATCCTGGACAAATCACCTTTCTCTGGGCCTCACTTTCCTCATCTATCAAATGAGAGATTTGGATTAAATTCTTGTTGAAATCCAATTCAACAGTAACATTTTATGATTTTATGTTAATAAGGGAAAGTAATCAAAGTATAGGAAACAAGGAATCACTGATCATTACATGCTGTTTACATTAAGTTACTTTATATCCCCGCACATGCAGAAGTTGTCCACGTGGAGGTCCATGAAACCGTCACTGGGCCTATCTACCAGCGCCCTGCCCTTGGGAAACATCACTCCTTCCCAAATGCTCACCCTCCTAACTCTGACCCTGCTACCCTACCCTACCTTCTATCCTCTCCCACTCCCAGAAGCATTCAAATTAAAGGAAGAAACGATTTTGTGGATCCTCACAGTGTGGTGGCCAGAGCCCCAGGGTAGGAGTCAGACTACCAGTCCCCGTCCTGGTTTTATCACTGTTCACTGTGTGACCTTGGACAAGCCACTTCTGCCCTCTGGCCTTAGCCTCATCTATAGAATGAGGGTTGGATGGGTTTCTCTTCAGGAGCCCTGCTCTAATATTCCTCTGTTCTGCCCTACTGGTGGCTACCAAGGTTGGGAGAGGCCAAAATCTACAAGCCAGCATTTCTCCAAACACTCCCAGAAATGGTAGACAACTTCCAGCATCCCAAGCAGGCCTCTGTACTCAGCACCAGGATCCAGAAATCAGGGGAAATATGCAGGGCCAGGTGGGGTCCCAGCTGAACACAGGATGCGGCACCCTGTTCCAATTCAAAGCTTTTCTTACAGGTGTTCTCTTACTCCTAGGATAAGGACAAACAAGGCCTCCAAAGGAATCAGAAACATGTGCTTCAGAGACCAGCCCAGGGCAAAGAGTAGAGTTAAAGGTTATTTGTTAATATACTCTTTTAGTTAAGGAATAACATACAAATAGGAAAACACGCATATACATGTCTTGAAATGTATATGTACACATCCATGAAACAAACGCCCAGATCAAGAAACAGAATACCTGCACCCAGAAATTCCCATTGTGTCCCCTTCCAGTCACTAGGTCCCCGAGGATAACAACCATCCAGACTTCTAGCACCATTGATTCCCTTTGCCAGTTTTGAGTGTCACACAAGTGGAATTATACAGTATGGACTATTGAGTCAGACGTCCTTTGCTCGACGTTTTTGAGCTTCACCCATTGTTACATGGAACAGACTGTCATTCATTTTCATTTTTGCATAGTAAGGACTTAATGAAGAGCTAAAATCAATGAGACAGTCCTGAATCTACACTAGGGTGTGCACTGATAGACAGCAGAGGAAGGAGGTTTACATACAGCTCCCCCAGAAATCGGGATGATCCCCTCTGCTGTTCTTCCTGCAGAGTCCTACACCTTTCTCCTGGTGGGCTCCGGAGGTGGGGCCTTGACACCCCAAACTTACGTCAAAGCCTCAGTCTATCATCTGGTAAAGGCCAGGAGCTCTTGTTCATTGAACACTTACCCTGTGCCCAGCTCTGTGAGAGACACCTTCAGCTCAGCATCTTGTTTCATCCTTACAACCACGAAGTTGGTACCTTTATTATTCCTATCTTACAGGTAAGAAAACTGAGGGGCTCAGAGAGGTTGAATAAGTTGTCCTAAGGTTGCACAGCTAGAAAGGGGACCCAATCCCTAACCCCAAAGGCCAAACCTCTCCACTACTCCAGGTTGGCATGGAATTTGCCAACTGGATCTGTCCAACATCTGGGTCCCCAGTCTCATCTAGCACTGTTTGTCCCATCTCACTCACTTTGCAAGGCCACAATAGCCTCCTGCCAGCTCCTCAGGCCCCAGCTCTCTCTCCCTACCTCGGGGCCTGTCCGTGCTACTGCCTTTGCCTGCACCTTTACCCCTCAGTTCTCAATAGCAGTCCCTTCCTCACAGCAGTCCTCTCTGCCCACCAGTCTGAACTACATCTCCGTTATGCTCTCACACAGCATCCTTTTATCTCCTTCCAAGCCCATAACACACCTTATGATGATTTATCCTTTTGTGTTCACCTGTCCAGTACCTTTCTCCACCAACAGAGCATAAACTGCAAGAGGACAGGAATGTATCCGTTTTGCTTGCCACTGCCTTGGACAGTGCCTGGTATGCAATAGGTCTTCAGTAATACATTAAGTGAAGAAAAGGAGAGGAAGAGAGGAGGATAGGGCTGTCTCTGCAGAAGCTGAGTGGTCACCTGAAGGCAGCTCTAGCTCCAGCCTGTTCTATGGCCCCAGGAAAGACCCTTCCCTTCTCTGGGCCTCAGATTCCTCAATTGTCAAATGAGAAGCCTGGAAGAAAGGACTTCAAAGGCCTTCCCACTCATCTGCCCTCTCGACCACAAATCCTAGGTTGTCTGCCCGTTTCAAAGTCCCCAGTCCCCAGGGCTCTGCTGCCTCTCACCCACAGTTTGCCCAGTAAGCACTTTAGGAGAAATGGAGAAGCACGAGTCATCCCAAGGCACCCCAGGCGGTGAGGTACATGGAGCCTCCACACCCTGTTGCAGGTGGAGAACCAGAAAACAGGAAGTCTCTTCCAGTTCTAATAGTGTGTGTCCTTTTAACATACAGAGTGGGGGAGAGACAAGACTGAGAAGGAATACTAAAAGAATTACCCAGGTAACTGCTTCTACTTCTTCAGACCCCTGCCCTCGGACCTCAGTTTCTCTGCCCACTCAGACTCTAGACTCTTCCACCTCTGCCCTTGTTAGCATGCATGTGGCTGCCCCACTGCCAGGCTGGAGCTCCAGAAGGCAGAGACTGTCTGTGTCTTGCTCATCTTTGTACCCACAGCACTTAGTGCAGACCCCTACACAGAGGATGTGGCCAAAGTGAGGCCACCAAATCAAATGCCACTGGCAAGGCTGGCCATGGTCTGTTGCCAAGGATGCACTTTCCCGCTGGTGTCACTGAGGGCAGGAGAAGAACCTGTGGCAAAGAGATCCCAGCTTCCCATTCAGAGGCAGACTCCAACGGACCAACCCCAGCCTCTGGCTCTCTGTCCTCCTACCCCTTCACCAGGCCCAGGATTGGGAAGAGTCATCCCCTCTGGGGTCTCTGCAGTCACTTGCTCCCCCAGCCAGCCAGCCAGGACAAACACTCCCTGAACTTGAAGCACCTGCCACCTCCCATTTTCCTTGGAATAAGGCTTCTCTGCCTTTGAAGCTCTTTCTGTTTTGTCTTTAAAAATAAAAGGTAAGAGAATTAGCCTGACTCAAGAGTTCTATAAAGGGAAAACGACTCCTGTTTTACCTGTTGGACACTCTAAACTCCCATGTTTTTGCTCTGCTGGGTGTGTGAAGGGGTGAAGCTGGGTGTTCTGGTGAGCACATAGTGGGCCAGTGCCACGATCACAGGACAGAGCACGACGGCTGTGCAGGTACAAATGGGCTGGTCAGAACCTTGGCTATGCAACTTTGAGCAACTTGCTTAGAATCTGGACCACAGTTTCCCCATCTGGAAAACGAGTGTAAAAATCATGCCTATTTCATGCATCCTGTAAGAATCAAACTTCAAGACTGATATTTTGTAATCACCATCTAAATATTAGCAGTCATTAGAAATAGAAGGCAAGAAGAGAGCTTCAGAAAAATCTTAATTTGTCCGCAAATAGTAACTATAGTACTTTCAGAACTCAGAGTTCAGCCTGGGCTGCATTGAGTTCAGCAAATCTGAAAAGGCATCAAGTAACTCAGATCCCAGGAAACCACACGACTAGGCTCACGTGGCTGGCTACTCAATGTGAATCCATTTCCAGGATGATTACTTCACCTGCCGTTCAGTTCAGGCTTGGAACTTAAAAAGCAAAATCCTGGGAACCATGTAGAATCCCAAGTGGGATTCAGAAAAGAAAACCAACAAGTCAGGTTTCTGTCCACGGGCTGGGGGGACTTTGTGAAAAAAGTAATACATAAAACAAGAATCATTAAGATTTGCCCTGTCAGCTGGATTATACTGAAAACAGAGAACTCAACCAGTCTAGCCCCTTCTACTGACAAGTCTTTATTTCCAGAGAGATGACTACGTGCAGAGTCACCCATGAGGTGAATAAGCCACAGGCTCATTTTTAAAGCTTCCCACTAGTGCTGTGGCAAGCCCCGTCTTCCAACACCAGCTGACAAGTGCACCGAGAGCAGCATGACTTTGGTTCCCTCTGGCATCCCCCACCTCTCACGCAGCCTCTCACCTCCCCAGCTCTTCTCCTATGTCGTAAAAGTCCTCCACCTTCAGCTGCTTGAACGGCTCCATGTTTGGGCTCCTCATTGAGGCCTGGACCATACAACCCTGAAATGGGAAGAAACCTGAGGTTAGGACAGCCACGCAAATTAGCACAAACCTAAGAATCTGAGGCCTAAAAACAATCGGCTGCAAGGGAGCTAATATTTTAACAATGACCCACAGCCCTGGCTCCTCAAGAACTGCCCTGCTCAAGCCTTTTCTCAACTGTGGCTGATGATGTACGGTTCTTATTTGATTTATATGAATTCAAATATGTTAAGGAAACAGAAAAGGAGCCCTCCTCAGTCCTCCTCTGAAGTTGTTCAGAGAAACAGATCCATACTCAGCATAAGCTATTTGTTCTCACTAAATTCAAATCTAATGAGGAAAGAGGCATCTGATGCAGTAAAAAAAAAAAATACTCGTTTTTTTTTTTTTTTTTTGAGACAGAGTCTCACTGTGTTGCCCGGGCTAGAGTGCCGTGGCGTCAGCCTAGCTCACAGCAACCTCAAACTCCTGGGCTCAAGCAATCCTACTGCCTCAGCCTCCCAAGTAGCTGGGACTACAGGCACGCACCACCATGCCCGGCTAATTTTTTTTCTATATATTTTTAGTTGTCCAATTAATTTCTTTCTAATTTTAGTAGAGACGGGGTCTCGCTCTTGCTTAGGCTGGTTTCGAACTCCTGAGTTCAAACAATCCGCCCGCCTCGGCCTCCCAGAGTGCTAGGATTACAGGCGTGAGCCACCGCGCCCGGCCAGAAAATACTAGTTTTAAAGTCAGAAGTCTCAGGCTCAAGTCCCAGTTTTATTTGGGTAATTCATTTAAGCTGCCAGAGACTTAATTAGCTTCCTCATCTGCAAAATGGGCTAATATTGTAAAAATCAACTTTGAGACATGAAATTATTTTGTAAACCATATAATGCTGCAAAAGGTAAGGGATTATCATGACCTCAGCTCCCTCAGGGGTTTGCCACCCAATTTCAAGTCTGAACTGATCTGTACACTCTCGCTCATCACCCCAAAAAAAGATGGCCAGGAGTGGCGTGACAAATTCCAACAGGCACCTGGAGTCCTGAGGTGCTTTTTTCAGCTTTGCCTGCGACCAGCTCTGCGACCTCATCTCTTGTCAGAAGGGCCTTGGTGTCCTCATCTGTCAAACGGAGCTAACTCTGCCTGCCCAGGGCACCTCAGTGAGAGCCAAAGGCCAATTCTGGGAGATGGGGAGTGCTCACCACTTCACCAGAAGAGACTGTTTGAATCCTCCCCTAGGACCCCCTGCCCCAAGGAGCGCACCCATTCCTGGGATAGTCAGGTGCCACCCTGGTCGGCACCCCAAGAGCAAGGCCCAGGGCACAGTCTGCAAATCACAAAGATAAAACCAGCTACCTGTGGCTGTATCTTCCAAGAGTCATTAGCGAAGGCCTCTCAGAGCTCACCTTGGCTAGCACTGGCAGCTTTGCTGCTGCCTGCCAATCACATCCCAACCACACCCAGGCTCCAAGAGCCCCAGAAGACTGCTTTCACCAGGCTAGGTGGAGGCACAATTACATAAAGGTGTGTCTCATCGACTCCAAGTGGTTGCAGCTGTTCTAACTCTCAGGGGATGTATACAATCCACTCTCTTTCCTCCACCTCTGCCCCCTGCAAACCAAAGCGCCATTACCAACATGCCATTTGCCTCCCTCCCTTCCGCCAAGGCACAAATATCTCTGAAGACCCCCAGGCAGAGCTGGCCTGGCTCACAGGTCTTACTCTGTCATCTATTTGTTGGCACCGATGGTCCATCATGTATCCTCCTCCCGGCTTGGTCGTCACTCTGGGCTTGGCCAGGGCCCAGGCAGGCATGGAATACTGGAAAGAGCAGGCTCTAGGAGCCTCAGTTCCAGACTTGCTTGGGTGTGACCCAACCAGAGAGGCTGGCATGCTCTCTGGGCCTCAGTCCCCTCATCTGTAGCCTCAGAGGTGATACTATCTGCAATATATCGCCTACTTCACACATCCCTGTGAGGATCCATTGTGATAAGGGTGTAAACTGCTGTACAAATAAGAAGGATGACTATCATTGTTCTTGACTCATGTTGGCCCACTCATTGTGTTTCTGCTTCCCACAGTCACTGAAACAACTAATTTGGCTCCTTTCTGAGAAAAAGGTTTCGGGGTCTCCCCAGCAAGTTTGGCTTGACCAGAGTCAGAAGCTGGACCCACCCTCACCCCCACTATCCTGGCAAATCTCCTGAGACTAGCCTAACCGGTGGTGGGACTGCTGTCTACTATCCTCTTTTTGCTGAGAAGTCCTTCCAAATTAACTATTTGGGTCAGATCCTGGGGGGTAGAGTTACTGATTTCACACAGCTGGATGCAAGCAGGAAACGCCAAAAACAGTCTGTTGGCAGAAACCCTGAGTGTGGTCCCTGGAACAGCTAAGATCTCCCATTTGGTGAGAGGCCAGCTCCATTTGCTCTCAGGAGCTGAGCTGGACTCAAAGAAGCCCCTGGTTCCTTAGCAAAATGTGGAGCCTCTGCCTTGGGCTCCACACCCTGGTGGCCAGGGGTAGGGGCAGGGGAGCCCCCTAAAGACAAACTAGGCCCATCAGTGTGGCCTTAACTCACCTTTCCAGCCTTATCTCCCTTCCCTACATATCCTATATTACAGCCAAAGTAGACCTTTCCCATTTCCCCAAAACTTTCACCCCTGCCGTGCCCTTTCCATGGGAGACCCACCTGCACAGCCCTCTGACAAAGCTGCCCCGTCCCACAAGGCCTGGCTCAATGTTGCCATCTCTATGAGGCTCCATGATCCTTTCCCTCCCAAAAACAGATGAAAATGTTCCCCCTCTCTAAATTCCCTAAGAGTGCTTTTCATACATACTTAAGGTTAGAGGTTATCACATTCTGGCTCATATCATAATCTATGTCTATGTCTAACCCAGAGGGAGACAGCATAGATTCCACAGTCACAGAGGCCTGGGTTCAAATCCCAGCCCTACCACTTCCTAGCACACTGTCCTTAGCTGAGCACAGGATAATTTTTCTGAGCTTCACATTACTGCCATGGAAATGAACATAGACAATGTGTAGTGTTGGTGAGCATGTGGAGTAACTAGAATTCACCAACAGGAGGAGTATACACTGGGACAACCACTTTGGAAAACTGTTGAGCAGTTTCTGTGCATTTATGTAAGAGAAGTACGTGCAGACGTTTTCCAAAATGATCTATGTTAGAATATCCACCGCAGTACTGCTTTAGTAATAACCAAATGGTCATCAATAGAAGGATAAATAATTTAAGGTACTGTATATCCATACGATAGAATCATTATACAACAATGAGAATTAAACTACTGTTACCTGCAACAACCTGGATGAATCTCACAAGCATAATGTTGAGTGAAAGTAGCCAGACACAGAAGACTACAGACTGTGTGATTCCATTTAGGCAAAACTAATGTATGGTGCTACAATAGAAGTCAGAATAGTGGTTACCTCTGGGTGGGGGCGTGGACACAGAAGGCTTCTGGGTGCTGGCAATGTTGATTTTTTTTTTCCCAAGACAGGGTCTCACTCTGTTGCCTGGGCTAGAGTGCAGTGGAATCATCATAGCTCACTAAAGCCTCAAACTCCTGGGCTCAAGCGATCCTCCTGCCTCAGCCTCCCAAGTAGCTGGGACTACAGTTGTGCACCTCTACACCTGGCTAATTTTTCTATTTATTTGTAGATACAGGGTCTCACTATATTGCCAAGGCTGGCCTTGAGCTCTGGCCTCAAGCAATCCTCCCTCCTCAGCTTCCAAAAGTGCTGGGTGTCAAGCCACTGTGCCCGGCCCTATTTCTTTTTGAGACAGAGTCTCGTGCTGTCGCCCAGGCTACAGTGCCATGGCATCAGCCTAGCTCACAGCAACCTCAAATTCCTGGGCTCAAGTGATCCTTCTGCCTCAGCCTCCTGAATAGCTGGGACTACAGGCATGAGCCCCCACCACACCCAGCTAATTTTTTCTATTTTTAGTTGCCCAGCTAATTTTTTTTCTATTTTTAGTAGAGACAGGGTCTCACTCTTGCTCAGGCTGATATCGAACTCCTGAGCTCAAGCAATCTACCCGCCTTGGCCTCCCAGAGTGTTAGGATTACAGGCGTGAGCCACCGCCACCGAGCCCAGCCAGGCCCTGTTTCTTATTGTGGGTAGAAGTTACATGGATATATGGGATGTATACTTATTTTGTAAGCAATCAAAATTTTACACAATTTTTTAAAAAAAAAACAAAAAGAAAAAACAAAATTTTACACGATTTTAAAAAATGAGATGAATATTTACCTTATAAGACGAATGAAATAACGTGAAAGGTTTTAAATGGTCCCTGGATAGTCCTAACAAATGTGAGTTCCTTCTTTCCTGCCTATTGTCTTGGAGCCCCATGAGGCTCCAATGTCAAATGTGACATTCTTACTTTTGCCCCCTTGTAGTAGCTAGTATACAGCAGGTACTCCATTAATGCTGGTTGATAGAATTTAGCGCCTCAGCCTCCTTTTTCAAGGCCATTGCTCAGATGCCTCATCAGGTAAAACAACTGATAAGGGCTTACAGCCCTTTCCTAACACCTCTCCCAAGATGAACTTGCACTTTACTAGTTTAGAAACATGAAACTGAAGAAGAGAAACTGAATTATAGACGTTCGCTAGGGCCCAGAGGAGGACCCAGAGACACTGGCACCTTTTGGGCCCTGAAAAGCTGAAACCACATGGCAGATGGGAGGGACACAGCTACAACTTTTGGCCAGAGGCACAGGCCATCAGCTCCAGATGTTCCCATCTTAACACCCACATTTCTCCTAATGGAGTCCTTGGAATTCACATTCCGGCCTACCACCCTAATACTAGGCAACTCTTTAGGGGGTTAACATAGATCTCCTAGAACCCCACAGAAAGGGACCTCACAGATCATCTATTCAGGGATTTTTAGACTCTTTCAGGAGCCACCAGTGTGAGAAGGGGAGGCCAGAGTAGTTCCACATTACCCATAGTAGATGTTGGGGTTCTAGGTAAGAATTCATTGTGAAACAGAAGTTTGAAAACCACTGCTGTCTGGTCTAACCCACTTGTTTTGCAAAAGGAGGAAACCAAGGTGCAGATAGGGGAAGGGACTTACTAAACATCACACAGCTGGCCCATTCAGCTGCTCTTCCCAGGATTTCTGCTGATAGCGACCCCAACCCCTTTAAAGCTGGCACCAGGGTTGGGGAAGTCAGTGGCCTCCTGAGGGACAACCTAGAAGGAGGTGTCCAGGGCTGGAATTTGCCCCAATAAGGAACTCTCAGTGCTCACTAAGCCCTCTCCCCCACTGGGCCCAGCTCACCCTGCAAAGTGAACTCTCCCAGGTCCTCGCCCCACCTCGTCCAGTGCAAGTAAGCAAAACAGGACCGTGACTGCCCCCTCACACACACACACCCATTAGGAATCATAATGCCCAGGCACCGGGGAGGCTGCCAACAGAAGGGAGGGGGCTCTGGCATTACAGAGCCCCTCTGTACATTCAGGGCTTTGACCCACCACAATCTCTGATGAGGAAGCTGAGGCTCAGAGGTCAGCCACCTGCCTGAGTTAGCATGAGAAAAACTCTCTTTCTGGTAACGGTCCAGCTCCGATGGGCAGCCTGCTTGTTTGTCCCTCATGGTCAGGGTCTGTTCGGGTCTCATTCCTGCCAGCCAGAAACTTGCCCCAGAACAAATGACGTCCACCCACATCCACACACAGCGACCTCCGTGCCCAAGCCTCCTGGGAAGCTGCTGAATTATCAGTGCCGCCACTTTAGGTGCTAAAAACACATCTTGGGAGATGGGCGGTTTCAGGAAAAACAAAGCTCTGAAGGTAACTGTGAAGGGGCCAAGGTGCTAGGATCCCTTAGTCAACAGGACTCTCCCAGGAAAACCTTACACAGAGGCAGCTGGGAAACACAGTCAGAAACCAGAGCAGCAGCCCCCAGCTGCCGTCCATTGGATTCTAGAGCACAAGGTGTCAGGAGCCCCCTGGGCCCTTCCCACCTGCCACGGAGGCAGCCAGGTATGGTGTACTCTCCTCCGCAGTGCACCCTCAACTTACTACAACCTGCATGGCCTCAAAGAAGCTCAGCTCTCTGGGCCTTTGTAAAGTAAGAATACTTTTCTCCTTTGTAAAGTAAGAATGCTAATTTCTACCTTGCGGAGTTCTAGTGAGGGTTACCCAGACCTATGCGTGGCATGAGACATCCACAAAGCCTGGCCCAGAGTCCGCGTCCACTGTTGGCAATGCCCTTTCGAGCGCTTCCACCCCAGGCTGCAGCAAACCCGCTGGCTGCCCGGGCGCCCACACTAGCTCTGCCCCGGGACAGGGCTCCTGACAGTGGGGACCACAGCTTCATGCGGCCACAAAAGAGGCTCGCCACATCTCGCATCACCTCCTGATGCCAGCGGGGAGCAGGAGATGTGAGAGAAGGGCTAAGCTGAGAAGACATGGCCGGGAACCGGACGTGTTCTCCCTCTCTAAGGGGGCCTAACCTGATGGAAGTCTGACCCCATCTCCTCCCTGGGTCCTGGCTTCTGCCCGCCGCCCCTACCCCGTCTCCCGGGTCAAAGTGGCAGACTTAGGCGCGCGCCCTGAAGTAGCGGCTGGCAGATCCCACGTTCGGGTGCGGGCCACAGGCCCAAGGCCACGGCCGGCCATACCCGGGGACGGCGTCAGGCACCCGGGCGGCGGGCCGGGGATCCACGAAAGAGCGCCCCGGAGCTCTTTGCCCCGCCAGCCCCAGTCCCCGGCGCTGCTGCGCTCGGGCCGCGCGCCCCGTCCCGCCCGTCGAGCCCGCAGACGGACGCTACTCACGGCGGGAGGCTTGCGCTGCGGCGGCCGCGGCGGGTACCCTGGGCACGGGGGCGCGGTGGGGAGCGCGGCGCTGGGCTCGGCTCTCCTCCTTGCCCGCCGGCCGAGCCGCGGAGGAGCCGAGGGGGCGGAGCGGCCGGCCCCGTCCCAGGCGCCGGCTGGAGGCGCGCGCGGCCGCCCCGGACGGGGCTCGGGGCGCCCCCTGCTGGGAGCCCCTCGGGACAGCCCCGCGCTGAGGGTCGAGAGCCTCCCTGCCCCGTCTGGGCGGGCCCCTCCAGGACCCTGGGACTCCGGGCAGAGGGCGCGAGAGCCGGTGGCAAGACCCTCTGGGCGTCCTTACCGCTCACACGCTGTGCGGCCTTGGGAGAGTCCGCTAACCTCTCCAAGCCTTATCTGGAAATTGATTTAAATGAGCTGATACGTGTGATGTAGTCTGGCACAATCGCTCAGAAAATGGGATTTCCGTGCCACCCTCCCCCACCGCCACACACACCGTGAGAGGAAGTCCCACTAGGGAACAGGCCGCTCCCTCCCGGCCGGAACACTCCCTGACACAGCACAGGTCCTTCTGGGAACCTCATCACCCACGTCTCACAGCAGGATGGGCGCTGTGGTGGGAGGGACACTCTGCTCTTCACTCCCCCCCCCACCACCGCCCCCGCCCGCCCCAGTTTGCCCTTTGCTCCCCCAGCCCTGGCACGGTTGGTGAGTGAAACACCCATATCACCACCAAGCCTTCCCTAATAAAGGACTTGGGAGTGGATTCCCCCTCTTTCCTTCTGCCAGAAAATCCCGGAGGAAAAAAGGAATGAGAGTGGAGGAGGTGATAGGAAGAAGGAAGCGGAAACAGAACTTAAGCCAAGTTCAGTGCTCTTGTTTCAAGACCAGAGGCTATTTAACAGAAAGAAACGAGGATCCCCTCCCAGAATTTCCATCCCTAAGTCATCCACGGGGCTCCTCAAAAGGGTGCAAGATTCAGAGTCCTAAGCCTGGTTCAAAGGCCTTCTCTGCCATTCTATATGTGTGTTCTTGGGCATGGCTCTTTCTTCATCAGTGAAGTGGGAGAAACACTCCTTCCAGTAGCTCCTAATGAAGCTATGGTGGGGCTGAAATGAGATAGAGTGTGTAAGATGCACCTAGAGGACCTCTGCCAGTGTGAGCACTGCCCCCTCCCTTTAGCGTTTTGGCACTGGGACAAATACAGATGGACCCAGCAACCCAGCTGAGCAGTGCGTCAGCATCTGGGGCTGTCTGGGGAAAGATCCCAGAGCGACCTTGTTTACAAACTTTACAACGTCCCAGGACAGTGCAGTCTCTGAGCCTCGTCTCCTAAGAGCATCATGCTACAAAGAGTAATATCCAAGACAAGAGGTGACTTCTGATATTAAGGGGCAGAGAGGGGAAAGACACCCACCCACTGGTGAGGTTTCACCAGCATAGGGAGCCCCCTAACAAACCATCCCTAAACACCTCCTCCCCATTTCTAGTTATCTGTTGCTGGTAACGAACCACTACCAGCCTTGGTGGCACAAAACAACAATTTCATTATGCTCATGCATTCTGAAGGTCAGGAATTCAGACAGAGCACAACGTATATGGTTTATCTCTGCTCCATAACATTTGAGACTTCAACTAGGAAGACTTGGGTGACTGGGGGTGACTTGAATGGCTGGGGGCTGAGTCACCTGGAGGCTTTTTCATTCACGTGTCTAGTGCCTGGGCTGTGAAGAATCCAAGACTGGGTTTAGCTGCTACTGCTGAGCAGCTACATGTAGCCTCTTCATCCCTTTCCCTCTGAGCCTCATGCTTAATACCTAATTTTCAGCATCCCTTGCATGAGTCAAAAGAGACATTCTTGGATTTGGCACTTGGCAAATTAGTTAGAGAATTTCAGCTGAAAAGGTCATTGTCAATCAACCCATCCAGCCTGGTCATTTTTTCAGATAAGGAAACTAAGGCTCAGAGAAGGGAAGTGGCTTGCCCAAGGTCACACAGCTGGTAAGAAACAGAGCTAGAATTAGAACCAGGCCTCCTCCAAATTCTCATGCTGATGCTCCTTCTATCGCACCTGCCAAATGCAATTGCCCAGGGAGGTACCATCTAGAAATGCATTTTATGCTTGAGGTTGAATGAGTTTATCATACCCTCACCTGAGAGCAGTGACAGGGCACTGAGCACTGAACATGGGACCAAGGTGGCAGTGGGCAGAGAAGAGGTGGCCCCAAGGACAATGGCAACAAAGACACCTGCTGCAGAATGAAGCCAGGGTAGGTCCAGGTCTTAAGAGCTAAGAATTATGCAACTCAGCTCCAGTCCCTGCCTGGTTCCCACAGCTGATCACATCGAGTCTAAATGCCTCCCCCTAGCATGTAGGGCTCCAAACTGCATTTTTCTGCTGTGTATGCACACATTCTTCCTTCCTGTGCATGCACATCCAGCTCTTTCACCAGGTTGGATTATTGGCTGTTCCTGCCTCCATGCTTCTGTTTAAGCTATTGCACCACGACTCCCCTTGTGCCATTCACCAAAATCCTGTCTATGCTTCAGGGGCCCTCTAAAGTATCATATCTTCCGTGGGAAGTTCCCTGATCTGCCCTCTAAATGCTTCACTCCTCTGAACCTTACTACTCTTGGTTGGTACCTCTTTTGTCATTCTCCTTCCTCTATCTTAGTTATAATTAGTGTTTGCTTCTTTTTTTCTCAGGGTCAATTATTAATACAATGTCCTGTCCACCTTTGAAACTATACAGTGCCTGATATCCCAAACCCAATAAAAGTTTGTTAAACAGAATTACTAGAATGTAAATGCCACAAGGTAAGGTACCATAGTTGTCTTGTTTTCTATTGTCCTCTAAGGCACCCAAGTACCTGGCACTTAGTAGATTCTCAATAATCACATGTTGGATGGATGGATGTGTAATTAATTTTAATAGCTGCCAAGTATTACATTTCTTCTAGCTTGGCCATTCCAGTGCTTTATTTCAAGTGCTTTACTTCAAGGCGAATGTTATTATTTCCTTTTACAGATAAGGTAACTGAGGCTTAAGGAAGTTGACTTGCCCAAACTCACTCAACTTAAAAGTGGTTGAGCTGGGATGTGAATCTTGTGTGCCCTTCTCCAAAGCCCAAGCTCCTTCTGTGTCCCTACCTCCCACTGCCTGCTCTCAACCGAAACTTCCAAGGTTTCTAAAATAGTATTAATGCGGAGGTTTTCGGCCCCGGCAGCACATCAGACTCAGCATGGGGGTGTTTAAAATTCCCCACGCTCAGACTGCACCCTACATCAATGACATCAGAACCTCTGGGGGTGAGCATCAGTATTTGTTGAAACTTCCCAAGTGATTCCAATGACAGGTTGAGAACCTCTTTGTTCATGTCACAGAGATTTGGGAAAATGAAAGGATCCTCCAACAACCCACCCAACTGCAAACACACCTGAGTACCTGCTTTGTACAAGACACTACAAGGGACTGTGAGATGGAAGAGTCACAGGAGCTCGAAGCTTCCATAAGATGAGAATGCAAGCCCACAGGTAGAGATGTAACCATGGCAGGCAGGAAAGGACAATGATCATGGTGATATCTTAAAGCGCACTTTGGTGCTTTGACAATGGGTCCAGTGCTGACTCCTTTCTCAGGCAATTACATCAGGCCAGGAGAGGGCACAGGTGATTCCTCCCCCAGCTGGCTTGCCTACTAGGTGAAAGGCAGGCAGGAGGCCTCCTCCCAAAGTGGCCTGTGGCCTGATTTCTCAACCCTTCCCAGCCCTGCTTACCCTGTTCTGTGTCCTCTGCTCTCTCATACCCAATCAGACAGGGTCCCGGATGTGGACCAAACCTGGCAGCCCTTCCTGTTTCCCCCCTGGCCCACTGGCTCCTGCAGCTTCTAGCCTTGTTGGACTCAGCAAGGCCTCGGCCCCCACAGGGATGGGGTGGGGAAGGGGAGAAGAGAAGAGAGGAAGGAGCTCGGGGTGGGAGGCTTTGCCTCTCCCTGGAGGCCCGGAGGATGAGGATTTCCTGGACACGTGTGCACACTCTTTCACTCCACACTCATTCAACAGCACCTCCTGGGGCTGGGTGCTGGGGCAGTGGGAAATAGAGGCCAAATGCCAGGAAAGGTCAGGTCTACTCTAAGAGGGACATTGAAAGGAAGGTAAGGCTTGAGTCAAGCTTGAAAGAAAAGTAGTGTTTACCAGGAGGACCAGAAGAGTACAAGGTAGGTTGAGGGAATCGAGGCACACGAGGTGGGAGAAAGGGGCTGGGGTATGAAACCACCTGTCATTTACTGTCCTGACTCCCACCTGAGTCAGTACAGGGCCACATTTTTGGATCATGACCCAGGCACATGCCATTGCTTTCTATTTGGGACAGAGGCTAGTGACATGGTGCTTGGCCAGGGCCCCCAAACTATGCCCACTTTCAGGGCTACAAATTCCATCCACCTACTTCTTTAGGCTCGGGAATCAGACAGGTCTATTTGTATTCCTGCTCAGCCACGTTCTGGGCAAGTCACTTCCCCTCTCTGAGCCTCAGCCGCCTCATCTATAAAATGGGAATAAATACATCTTTTCTCTCAGGGCTGATGTGAGGACAAGACCCGCACACACTGTGCCAGATGTTTGACAAAGCACTGGAACAAATGTCAGTTTCCCTCCCAAAGCAGATGCTGCCATCCTCAAGACAATTTGTCACTTGTGCCATATCTCTCCAGCCATGTTGTTTCTACCTGTCTCTGCAGTACTTTCTTCTTTTATCCTTCATCTATCAAAGACTTAGCTCAATTCTAGCTTCATTCTTTCTTCAAATGTTTCCTGGTGCCCATCCTGAGCCGGACCCTGGGCTGGGCCCTGAGAGACACTTAGAGTGTTCTTCAGGCACTAAAGGTCAAGCAGATGAGCTATCCTGGGAATGGATGCCTGGAATCTCGTATTCTGGAGCCAGGCCACTGGCAGAGCCCAGAGGGAGCCCAGGTGGGGGAGGGATGGGCCTTGAGTGCCTGGGAAAGTGGTAGGGGGACAGACAGGCTCCTCGGAGGAGAGGAACACTTCCCAGATCTCACAGTCATGTCTGCTGAGCTGAGAGATGATTTCACCTTGCTGTGTCGGCAAATGGGTCCTTCAAGTGACTCCTGTCACCTTTCCT